GGGGATGCTCTGTTGAGCTGCCCAGTTCCCCTTCAGCACTGAGGCTCTCCTTCCCACAGATGCTGGGTTATTGGTGGCTGACAGCTCATAGCTGAATCTCTTTTTGGTAATTACCCTCAATGAAAAGGAACCTCTTCACACAGATCTTGAAGATCCCTTCCTAGGAACAGCCTCTATCCATTGACTAGTAGCTGTAGGCATGTAAAGTCCCTGTCCTCTAGCTTCAAGGAAGGACAATTCTGCAGGGTCATTAGTATTGGGAAGGTCTCAGCCTATTGATAATAACACAATCAGCTAGAAATGACTGGGGCACTCACTCGGGCCCCAGTGAATTCCTCCATACTTTTCCCCTTTTACACCATTACAAGTAGATTAGCCATGGTCCTCATTGTGGCTATAATGTGCCCTTCAGCAATAACCAACAGGAAACTTTTTTTTAAAGATTAATGTATTTGTGCATACAAGAGCTGGGGTGCAAGCCAGAGATGCAGGGGATGAGATGATTCACCAGAGGCAGAGTGGGGAACAGAACAGACTGAAATACACTACTGGGGGGAGCAGCGGGCATGACAGGAGGGGTCTGCTGTGCCATATGGGTAGCTCTTTTGGCCAGGGATTGAACGTGTGCTGCAGTGGCTGTAGATGGCTTCATAGTGCTGTCTCTAACCCCATGCGCCACCAGGGAGGCCCACTATCAGGAAAATTTGAGAAAAATAGAAATCTATTACTTGTAAGACCTGGAAATTAATACAGCACACCTGGAGCACTGTCAGTTCACAGTGGGAGAGAGAGCACATGCATGGACTGAGGTCACTCTTCCATTGGGATTAAGGGAGGAAATTTAGGGTTCAAGGGCATAGTCTATTGAATTTTAACTATAAGAGATGATTTATAGCAGACAAAGTAAGAAAAAAGAAGGAAAAAGGAAAGAGATAAGTCAAGTCCCTACTGATCAATGATCTAAATTAATCAGGATCTGGAAAACAAGGAAGCTTCAAGAGGAGAGGCAGCCGGCCTTTTTATCTTGGTATGTGCCTGACAATGCATGCATCTTTGAGGTGGAGCCTAGCTAGCAAAGTTTAAGTCAGGAGCTTGAATTACAAAATGAAAAGTCAACTTTGGAAGTTTACAATTCACCATTTCAACTCCAGAGAAGGCTTTGTGGTAACTGTGTCATACTTCAGCTCATCCCTCCATCCAGAACATTCTGCCCTCCCCCACATGTGTGGATCTCAGGGACACTCTAATAAACTCCCTGCCTGCACACCTGTTTCAGAACGGGCTTCCTATGACTCCGGCTCCCTGGAGGAAAGGAAAGATGGTCACGGCATACTCATGAAGGTTGACATAAACCATGAAATCAAGTCTGTTGTATTCAGTGACATCAAAGAGGCATGATACAATCCTATGGGAGTGGAAAAGGTGCCTTCCTTTGTTTAGAATACAACAAAGGGAGAATTAGGAAAGGTCTCACAGAAGAGGTAACATTTGAACATAACTTTGAAGAAATCTCCAAAGAAGGATGTGAGGTTGTCTAAAATTGTGAAAGAACATAGCTTATTAAAGATGTGGCAGAGAGTTCAGTGTGGCGATTGGAAGGTAGAGCAAATGGGATGAACAAGCAGCAGAGATGAATCCAGAGCCAGATCACAAAGCATTCTACTGATCTTGAAGGTTCTTACACTGGAATGGGTTCTTCCCACCTCCTTCCTCATCTGTCAAACATGGCACCTCTACTTCACATTCAGATGTGGTTTGAGTAGATATACTTAGAGATGTCTTTATTCCATGTATTTCATAGAGGACATTTCTTTTTGTTTTCTGACATTTTTATTTATCAACCACTTAATTTACAAATGCTTTTTAAAAAGGCTTCATGATTCTGAGAAAGATAGCATCTTCTTGTGTAACTTTAAAACAACCTTCTATAAGACAACACAAAAATCTTACTCTGTGGTTCTTAAAATTCTGCCATTAGAAATTTCTGCAATTGCAATTGGTAACACATAGTGAAGGTTATATAGTGTAAGTTTCCAACACCCCAATCTTCTTCCTTTGCAACGATTGCTTCTATTATCTCTAGTAATGGAAACAATGACCTTTTCCTGTTGTTGTTAATACTGGTATATCATAGAGTAATGAAATTGCTGAGTTGGAATTAATCATAGTTTGACAGATGAGTAAACTAAGGTGTAGATAGAAGAAATTATTCACCCAAGGTCATACAGTAGATGTTAACAAAGCCAGAAGCTAATTCATATTCTTCATCTAACAACACTCTCGCGCTGTGACTGCATAATGAATTCATCATGTATCTCTCTAAATTACTGCGAGTGGATCCACCTGGGGTACCAGGTCCACCTCTGCCCCTGATGAACCCTGTCACTCGGATTCAAAAGTGTCAGTGCTCTAGGTCTGTTTTATCACCTGTGAAATCGGAGGCATGGACTAGAGGAACTCCCAGGACCTTCTCCTTGACACGGTGAGAGTCTCTATCCTTTACCTCAGAAAAGATAATTCTCTGAGTGCCAGCTAGAGATTGAAAGGGGAAGAGCGTATGGGAAAGCAAACTGGTTGGAAAGTTAATATGTCCTCTACCATCGGCAAGCCCAAGCTTCCAGTCAGCTGCATTCCTGGGATCTTTATTTTCTGATTTGGGAGCACTTCACATGTCTCACTTTCAGCATATTTTATTCATTTTTCCTTGATAACAGAAACATTCAAATTACTGCCCCTCAAACAGGGCTTCTCCCATGGACCATATTGTCTGTCTTAGAGACTGACAATCGTACATATTGATGCTCATTTTGAGTAAATGAGCTAAATCAGACAGCCAAGCCTCAATGCAAACAAAATTATTGTCTGGTCACATTATTCTGGTTTCTTCAACTCTGTTACAGGGCTGGCTTTAAAAACAAAAACAAAAACAAAAATCCACAGAGGAGTAAGACACAGCCCTGGAAAGATAGGATCCAGCCACCTTAGCTCTGAATGCCAGGCAAGAAAGCAAGCAGGACACTCAGTGTCCAGACCATCATCATCTCCAGACTCTCATCTTTTGTGTTGCTGCTATTTTAATTTCACCACTTCAAAAGAGAAAAGAGAATAGGTTAATGGTTTCTGTGAGTTTAAACTCAGGGGCATACTGAGTGATTTCAGAACCTCCAGCAACCACAGCTTTGAGGAAAGGCTGGTGATGGATTTACCAGCTCACTTGGGATGGATTCCACAGCCAGGAGAGTCTAGCCAGCACTATGTTGCCAGAGTGGGATGTAAACAATATTCCTTCATTCATGCTTTTTGCATACTCTCATCCTGGGCTTATTTTCATTCCAGGTGGGATACTGGGTGTCATCTGGAACAGATGAATTACATTAAGATATAGACCATGCCTATAAAGACATTGTAGTCTAGCAGAGGAAATAGACCTATACATATATAATGTTAATACAGTGAAAACTGTGAGTGTTGTAAGCAACAAAAATAAAGTACTTGAGAAGGGGAGAGAAAGAAGCAATGTATTCCAACTGAAGCATCAAGGGAGGTTTTACTGGGGAGTTGCCTTCTGACCTATACTCAAAAGGTTAACAGGGCAAACTGATTCATACTAAGCATTAGCCAATGCACAGAAGTATGGAAACTTCCCATTAAGATTGAGTCAGTTAGCAGTCTGGCACATCAGGGGAATCTGAGACTGGAAAGGGAGGTTAGATATCAGCTAAGAAACTAGCTCTTTTTACATTGTGGAGCCATATAAGTTGTTGAGAGCAGGAAAGATACTTGGCACATCTGTGTTTTGGAAAGGAAATCAGACATCATTTTGTGGATGGAAAATACTACAAAAGAGGTACAAATAAGGAAGCCACTCAGCCACCTTTGCTGTAGTTGAGACATCAACATACCAGTTGCCTATTCACAGGCATTTCTTCCCACGTGACATTTAAAAGTTTTAATGGTAAAAGGACAATACCCCTTATTTTCTGCATCTCTACCAGTTCTACATCTTTCTAATGAAACCCCCATCCCAGGTTGATTCGAGATTATAAACTCAGTGGATCCAGACATTTCAGTTGGAACATAACATATTGCATGGGAAACATGTTTAATAAGAAAACATGGGATTCTAGGGAAGGATAGAAAGTTAATTTTATCAATCTTTGTGTGTCCTGACTCAATAAAGGGTAACCCTTTGAAGGGGGTGTGCATTTTTAAAACTTAGCATATTTTTAAAGCCAAATAAATTGGCAGTATTCATTTGCCTCTTAAACTGTGCCTCTTCTATGTACATTTCCATCAAGCATTCCATCCCTGTGCTTGGAAGTGGTGTTAGAATCAAGGCTTTCAGTGACTCATTGACTTACTGAACTCTGACTGGGTTCTGTGGGGATCATGTTCTGTGAGTCTCAGTCATCAGACAGACTGTTCTCTAAAACGGTAGTGATGTTGATGACCCCAGTGGTTCTTAGACAGTGAATCAAGTTTTAGCAGTAATAGTGACTTGTTTTTTAAGTGGGGACCTTGTTCGAGGGTCAACAAACTATGGCTATCAACCAAATCCAGCCTACCACCTGGTCTTTGTAAATATAGTTTTATTAGAACACAACCATGCCCATTTACTTATGAACTTTACATTTCCCTCCCTGCTACAATACAAAATTGAACTGTTGCAACAAAGCCAGAAATATTTATTCTGTAGGTATTTACAGAAATGCTTGCCATTCACCCCTGCTGTGGTGGAAAGGAACACGGATAGATGTCAGAAGACATAAGAAAAATTGTAAATTTGCCTCCTACTGCCTGGCTAATCATAGAAAAGTCACTTACTCCACCTGATTCTCTCTATAGTTCTTTCTATAATACAGAGCGTTGGCCATCCTCTGAGTCCTTTGATAAGCTTGTGGGTCAATGTGTGCTTTAAAGGTACTTGTCCTGCTTTCAGTCACAGAAGTGGAGGTTCCTCCAATCTCAGCCTAACACTGGCATTTCTCTTTCCTTCCCAGAATACCCTGGAGCAGTGCAGCGTGTGCACCAAGCCCATCATGGAGCGGATTCTCCGAGCTACCGGGAAGGCCTATCATCCTCACTGCTTTACCTGTGTGATGTGCCACCGTAGCCTGGATGGGATCCCATTCACTGTGGATGCTGGAGGCCTCATCCACTGCATTGAGGACTTCCACAAGTAAGCAGTTTGCTCTCCCTCCTCCAGCACACCAGTCCTCTCACTGTCTGTTCCTGTGGCCTGACATCTGGGATTCTCTCTCAGAGCTGTGGAATCTCAGGATGTGGTAGGACCTGAGAAAGAGTATATCTCCTCATGTAATACAGGACTCCACTTCAGATGATCCAGGTGGTCCTCCAGCTTGGTCTCTGCTCCAAGGCTTTCCCAGAGCTCATCCATCTCATCTTTGTATGGTTCTAACTGTGAGAAGCTAACTCAGCCCAGAATGTATGTGTTGGAAAGAGGCAAGATCTCCAGGTGGCGCTCCTTGGCCTAAACATGAATAAGATGCCTGACACTGAACAATTTCCTCAGTTTCTCTCAACTTTTCAATTTGGCCATTAGACCCATCCCCGTCTTAAAGCTCCAACTGTGACAGCTCAGGATTGTCTCAAAAGCTGATGTCTACGTCTGTGCTAAACACAAGCATAGAACAATTCAGCCCTTCTTACCAATGCGAACCTCACATTTGGAGGCAGCTTTGTACCATTCTCAGCACACCCTCCCCTATCCTCCCCCATCCAAGTCTTCTTTTCTTCAGAAAATTGTCTATTGAAATTAATTCAGGAATATTCTCCAGTCTCTTGAGGGAGATTATAAGTAGAACCTCAAGGTCAAAACCACTCACTCATGGACCTGAAAATATATGCCTCTGGTCTTCAGTGTTCTCATTTGTAGGTCCCTCTTTCCTCATTGTAGCTGGGGTTTTCAGGAAAATGTACAGTTTTGTTGTTGTTATTTTTATCTGACCAGTTCCTCAGTAGGATGATTACATTCGAACATTTCTTAAGGAACTGGATAAAATCTGTAGATAGACTTGTAAGTGGCAGACAGGAAGGTTTCCTGGCTTGGGGGGAGGGGCCAGTGACTTTGTGGATGGTCCAAAGCTCGCAGTGGGATGAAGGCCTATGGCTCACCAGTCTGGGTATCCATTCCATGGCCTCCAGATGTTCAGTCTTGTGGGTTAATTTTCATCACTCTGTTGATTGTCAGCAACCAGGGGATACTTGCCACAAACAATTGGTGGACCTGAGACTCATTTTAAAAATTAATTTCCTGACCAATTTCCAAGTAGCAAAGAAAGTGAAAACCTCACAAAAGACGTGAGGCTGAACGAATTTAAAAAAACCCAGAGGCAGAAATATTCAACCTGAATTAGACAAGGAAGGGCTCCTTTTGAAAGGGCAGTCACAGCATAAATTGTACTTCACGTTATTGATATTTTTAGCTTGTAATTACACATGAAAAAAATCTGCATCTATTTAAGGGAAGTGAAAAGATACCAATGGGGAGTGTGTTTCTGTCACTGTTTCTCTCTTTTCTTAGACTTACCCTAATGCAAGAAAGACTGATAGATATAATCAGAGCACACATGTTTCTGTTGCTGGAAAAGACTGATATATTACACCCCTCAATTAAAACAGGAAATCAATTCTGACAAATGCAAGTTTATATCTATGCCATTTATCTTTCATTTCCAGGAGTGGGGAGCATAATTAGAGACTCGCAACTGGTGACATAAGTGTGTGGGTCTGAGCACGCCAGAAAAGCAGACTTGAGCAACTAAAAGGGAAAAATAATCTTAAACCCCCAACACCCCTCACCACTAATTCAATGGCATTAAAATATAAATTATTTCTTAAAAATAATGCTGTCTGCATGATTGGCAGGTATGTAGGGAAAGAAACTTCTGGATCTTTTCCCCATTAGCCAAAGAAAAATATGAGAATATTTCACCCATCTCTGTTACTGGGCTTTATAAACCTGAGAACACAAAGCAGCTAAAAGTCCAACTCAGAGAGGACATTGCAAGGCTAAGGAGAGGATAGACACAGAAGAGGGAGATTCAGTCTCCTGCTGCTAATGGTTTTGGGGAGCCTTGTTCTTGGTCATTTTGAATAGGTGTTCCTTTGTGAACTTTTAGGAAATGTATTTCAATTCAATTCAGCCATGTCAACAAAGAGCCTTCTGTATGGCACTTACTGGGCTAAGTGCTAAAGAAGAGAGATGCAAGGAGGAAAAAATGCATAAACACGTAGAGAGAAGCCACTGTCTGCAAGGAGCTTGTCAGGAGAAGGGGCAGGAATAAGTGCAGAATGTCAGTGATACGCACAGAAAGGTTTAAAAGCCATGATAGTGGCCCAAGCAGAAGTCTGACCTGTGAGGGTTAGAAGAGATAGGTTGACTCTAGAATCTGGGTAGGCTCCTGGAAGCAAAGTGTGAAGAGCTCTTTAGTGGAAGACAAAGAGATCCCTGGTAGATGGAATTATTTAGACAAGAAGTGAGGACAAGGAGTTAGGAAATGCTTTTCTGCATTGCTTGGCTGTAACTAGAGCAGCCTGGGAGTGGAAGTTGTGGTGAGATACAGGAGACTTATGAGAAAGGATTTATCTCACCAGCTTAGTATCCTGTCTTGTAAACCAGTGCTTCCCAAACTTCCATGTGCATACAAGTCACCTTGGGATCTTATTAAATTACAGATTCTAATTCAATAGGTCAAGGGCTGAGCCTAATTACCTGAATTTGAGGCAAGGTCCCATGTGGTCTTGGACTGTACTTTGAGTCACAAGCTTCTGAAATGCTTTTTTTCAGGTCTTGCTAATGGGCCATCCTCTACATAGTTACCTTTAGTCCAGCTTGGCTCAAATCCTCCAGCCTAATAGGTTAAAAACTCTCTTGCATGTGTCACTTCAGGTAACAGGTCAAACTAGGTCCCTGTTAAAATGACCAAATTCCATCCCTACCCCCAACTCTCTCTCTCTCTCTCTCTCTCTCTCTCTCTCTCTCTCTCTCTCTCTCTCTCTCTTTCTCTCTCTCTCTCTCTCTCTGTCACACACACACACAAACTCTCTCTCTCTCTCTCTCTCTCTCTCTCTCTCTCTCCTCACTCTCTCTCTCATTCACACACACACACACTTTCCTGTTTCACCTGAACAGTCTGTTTTCAAGACCCATGTCAATTGCATCTCCTCTAAGCAGACATCTCTGATTTCAACCCCTATCCCTGTGCTTGAATTTACATCTCCTGTGGGTTTTTTTTTGTTGTTGTTTGTTTGTTTGTTTGTTTGTTTTTGTGGGACCCTCACCAGCAGCCGGGGAATGAACCAGCCCTACAGAGGCTGCGGGCAGCAGCCTCACAGCCCAGCGCTCAACCACTGCGCCACCAGGCCACCACATCTCCTGTGTGTTTTATAGAGTTTTGCAAATAAAATAGAGATAGCACTTACCTAGCCTGATTAGTATTAGAGTATATGCACATACATACAATATTACTGTGACCAGTTTGAATTATTTTTGCAATATGGTAAGACATATATAGAAAAATTAATAAAACAAATACAGAAATATGTAGAACTCCCTCTCCAGTCTAACTACGGAAGTCTTAGTTTATATCTGTATTTCCAGAGCCAGTGCATTGAGCCCAGAAAAGCAGATTGATTGAACTGACCTTTTCAGTGTGATGAACTTCTACTATTCCACTATCTCTTTTGCTATCAGAGATCTTATATTCTTTCATTTATTTGTTTAATCAGTACCCATTTGATTGCCAAAAATGTGCCAGGACACAATATGATTAAGACCATCCCCTCTCTGAGCCTTGACTTCTGTGGCTGTAAAGTGGAAAAGATAACAGTATTTCATCATAATGTTTCTGTCAGTAGAAAGTAAGGTCAAGTGTGTAGAGTACTTAACTAGGTTTGGCACATAATAAGCACTCAATAAATAGTAGCTATTCTAACCATCAGAAGTGTTTTTATCAAATTTATTTTTGTTATTACTATTATCTTTTCAGTGAGCTGAGCATTGAAATAGACCTCCTGGGATTTTGAACAATCTTTCAAGTGCAGGACCAAAAACACCATGGGCCTGGGGGACCCACTTCCTGTCTCTTCATTTTGCTTTTTTCATAAAAATGAACTCGATTGGTTGGAAGGAATCATAACTCAGCAAGAACACAGTTTATGTCCTTCCAAAGAGGAAAGACCTTGAGAATGAACATAATGGCCCAAGTAATATCTTTTTATAGATAACTAGGATAGAGATTTCATTTTATTACATTTATCCTGAATGAATTTCTACTCTCTGAACAGTGGTTTCTGGAGACAACCTAATGGAACAAATTCTGTTCTTTGGAAACTCATAGTTTAGTGGTCTCCAAAGACAGGTGGATGATTACTATTAAAATAGGCAAATTCATTGAAAGATTTTATCCTAGAGGAGTAAGTAATCCTACTTGGGGCAATTAGGGGAGGCTCATGGACATAAGTGATAGTCAAGACATATTTCTGACCTCACAGAGTTTATAGACCCAATGGGTTTGGAGGAGGAAGTTTTGCAGTTGACTTCAGAAGCCTCCTTATTTCACTACTGATGACCCAGATTCAAAAATAATCAGGTAGGCCAAAGCAATTTTTTTGCCACTGAGTATAAACTTCTTGCATAAAATACCAATTATAACAACTCTTGATTGCTGCTGCAGTTGTACCATGATCCTTTTAATTTTTCTTTCATAGCAATCAATTGATCTGCTGCTTAATTCATATTTATTTAGATTGCAGCCATACAGATGCCTTTTGGGTGCTGCCAGGAAAATTAATATGTACATATAGAGTATAATGTATGTAAAAATGCTTTGACAACCATAAAGTACTCTGCAAAGTATTAGATTACTATCATTATTTCTTTTTAAGTCTCACTACAAATAGATAAATTTTCACGTCATTAATCTTAAAAGCATTACCATAAAAAACTGAGTTGCACAGTTTGTTTTTCCATTTTCTTAATCTTTTCTGTGCTTATCCATGTCCATTTCAAATTGTGTCTTATTTCACACATTCACAAATGCCACCCCTGATTTGAAGAACATACAGATGGATGTGTGGCATATATACCCTATTAATCTATTATGAGGGGAAAAAAATGTTAGGACTATCAGTCATATTAAGGAATATTAAGAGATCAAGAAATCTTAAAATTGCTCACCAACAATTAACCTCAAATCATACCACATATGTGTATGTATGTAGTTGTTCATATACACATATCCTTTGAAAGTATACTAAAATCCTTCACAAAATGAACAACTTTACAGCTTATTAACTCTTTTCATACAGATTTCAAACAATTAGATGCAGAATTGGCCGTAGTAAGTTTCTACAAAGAAAATTTAAACCCACTAACTTCTGCTGTTCTGAAAGAGAGGTATTTGAGGTTTTATCTGTTAATTCCTAGAATTCAAGACACATTTCAAAGAAAAAGGGTGCAATAAGTGGGAATGAAGCAAAGTTCCCAACCTCAGAATATTTGAGTAAGGGCCTGGGGAACACATACAAAAGTCTACTAGATAAGTCAGAAGAAAGCAGGACTTCCAGAACCTTGTTTTCCCTCTCTGGCTAGACTCCCAGCTCCCTGCTGGGAATGTCACATGCTATGTGCTCAGTAGCTCCTGATGTTCACTGTGCATAACCACTCACACCGTCACTCCCCCGCTTCCCCAAATATCACAGCATTTATGATCTAGCAAGACCTCTAGCATCATCTTTCATTAGTCTAACTCCCTCATTTCACAGCAAGGAAGCAGTCACAGAAAAGGAAAGTGACTTGTCCAAGGCCACAGAAAAGTGCAGCTGTCTGGGCTCTCAGCAGTGACCTATTTACTTCTGTGCCTCCCTTCTTTGTTGGTGTCTGTGCTCAGTTGGTATCTATGCTCTAAACAGATTACGTCTCCATTTTCAGGAAATTTGCCCCCCGATGTTCTGTGTGCAAGGATCCCATCATGCCAGCCCCTGGCCAGGAGGAGACTGTCCGGATTGTGGCTCTGGATCGTGATTTCCACGTTCACTGCTACCGGTGTGAGGTGGGTGGTGTGCGCCTCCTGCCAATGTGTGGCAGGCAGGACTTGGCCAATAGACCTGGGGTTTTCAGAAGCATGGCAGTTATTAAGTCTGAGAAATTTCCTACTACTTGTACTCTTAGGACTGGGGGCTTAACTTTGACACAGGCATTTAATACTAGTGATACTGGTAAGTCACTTTCTCTCAGTCTCAATTTTCCTATCTATAAAACAATACTCAGATTCTTAACTCCCTCTAATATGTCTGTGTGACTGAGATACACCACTCTGTATGGAAGAGGTTTGTAAATCATTAAATGCTAAATTAATGGGAAATATTGTTGTTAAGAGTGATAGTGTCATTATGCTGGATCTTAATTTTAGCTCTGATACTCCCAGAGCAATGGCAGAGATGCGGCTGTCGCCCATGGAGAGGAATAAGAAGAAATTCCAGTCGGAGGGGCTGGGACTTCATGTTCAAAGTCATGAGGACTCATTAATTTAGCAAGCACTGACTGAGTGCTGGGATAAGAGGTCAGATGACTGCGAAGAGCTGAAGCAAATGTACATGCTCAGTGCCCCAGGAATACTTAAAAGAGACCCATATCCAGGCTGGAAGCACTGAGGGAGGCTTCATACCCAAGGGATCAGCAGCCATAAATCCAGCAAAGGGCAGCAAGTCTGTCCTCTGTAATTTGGGGTCAAAAGAATATAATATTCAGAAAATGATTTTAAAACATTTTCTTATCATGGTTCTGTAAGTTACCCAGAGCCCCTCTTTTTTTTCCCTTTTATATATATTTTATATCATTCTTCCTTTTTGTATAATGTTTTCTCCTCTCAAGTGTCATCCCAGTTAAATTCCCACTACTAAGTCACCTGTGCACTATCACCATAGTCCCTTGTGTTCTTCCCTCCCCTGTTTTGATCCCTCTCCCTCCCCTTCCCCTGCAGAATGTCTCTGATTTATCGTTGCCTGTTTTTTTAATTTATTATAATTAGGTTTTTTTCCTGATCCCTTATTTGGTTCCCCCACATACCTCCTACAAGGATGGAGGTAAAATAAGCCAGAGACCCTCTTTTAAAGCACTTTTCAGGCCTCCCTGGTGGCACAGCGGGTTGAGCCCAGCACTATGAGGCTGTCCACAGCCTCTGCAGTGTGGGTTCGATTCCTGGCCAGCCAGGGGGATACCCACATGGTGCGGCAGACCTCTCCTGTCTCGCCCGCTGTTCCCCTCAGCAGTGCCTTTGGTCTGTCTGCCTGCTCTGCTCCCTGCTCTGTCTCTGGTGAATTCTTTCACCCTCCTGTGCCTCTGGCCTGTACCCCAGTTCTTGTATAAATAAAAATAAATCTTTAAAAAAAATAGCACTTTTCTTGTTTTCTACTAGCCCATTTTCTGCCTCCTCTTCTATCAGTGAGGGATAATATGAGTCTCTGTGACCACGTCTTTGTGATACTGACTCACCCAGTCCCACTGGGAGATCACCCCAAAACCCAGGCCAGAAGGCCAGCAGGGCATCCTTATTCCTCAGGGAGTGCATTCTTCCACTCACTGCCTTACCTGTAAATGACTCCCTCTCTTATTCCCTGGGCTTTGTTTTGTCCTGGAGTCCAATTTGCAGGCCTTTCTCTGGTATTAACATAAAGAAAGATAATAACAAACTACCAACTTTTACACAAGGGTTTATAAATAAAGAGGAACAGCCGTGTCCAGTCACCACCTTTAAAATTAAACTGACTCATAAATGTGTAAGAACTAACAGATACTTTAGACAACATTTTACAGATGGGGAAACTGAGGTTTGGAGGAGAGAGGCTTCCCAATTTTCCTCACACACTTTCTATAATACCAATAGACTCTGACTTTTACATTCTGTTGTTTTCTTGTGCTAATATATGTTCTATGATATAATAAGCTTTACATCCTCCCAGATTAAATTGTTGTTGTACATACTAAGTTTGCTTTAAATTTTTGCAAATTAGTTTTTAGAAATAACACTATAGAATTATAGAATGGGAAGAACATGGAACTAGAAGTCAGACCATTGTTCTAGTCCTGCCACAGACATTACACAGCATTGGACAAATCCTTCTTTCTCTGCTTCTCATGCCCCTTCTCTGAATTGAGGTTGTGCTGGATGCCCCGTATGGATTCTTTAGACTTTTAAGATTCAAGGCATTGAGGTTTTCAACCCTGTGGTCGACTGTGGGCTCTCTGGGATGCCCAGGTGACTGTAGATGTCAGCTCATTAAGTATTTCAAGCCATGTCATTTGTGAAGTTTCCTTCCTTTTATTGCAACCAAAGATTTTTTGCTTAACTTATTGCCCAATTTCCTAAATGCCTCAAGAACTGCAAAATATCTGCCTATTCATTTCAGTAAAGGTGACTTTCCTGGGGGGTGTAACTAGTGCTGCTGCTGCTGCCTCTGCAATGTTCTAGACAACACCCTTAGAACTTAGATGTTGTAATCTGTCCAATGTTAACCTGAAATCCAACCACCTTCCTGCTGTCATGGTGAACAGCAGAGGTGAGACATACAGCAATGGTGACCTTTTAAAAGCGCTCCCACTAAAGTTAGCAAGTTCCAGAGGGAGAGTGAAGAGGAACCTCTGAGCCAGTGGGTGATGCTTGGAGCCACGAAGGAGTTTCTAGACTCATCTGACTCCTTGAATGGGGACTTCTGGGAGCTAGGGGTGGAGTTGAGCTGCCGTGTTGATCTTAAAACATGGAGCATAGACGTGCCTGCTCTGGTTTTGTACTGACTTTTGGTTGCACCCTGGTGTCTTCTCGGACTGGTGCCTTCTGTGGGTAGGAGAGACTCAATCTGGTGATGTGGTAGCCAATAATTTATTTTCCCTTTTCTCTTAGCTCTCTCTTTTCCTATTCCCTATGTAAATTTTAGTTTCTCTTTTCTCACTCCCTACGTCATTTTAGTTTTCTCCATGTGTCCTGCATTGTATGAGTGAGGACTCACTGACCATGTCATATCTGGCTCTCTGGATTTTCCCCATTTCACAAGGACACACACCACTAGATGAAGTATTATATTTTTTCTTTTCCAAATAAACTTCCATTTTTTTCCCTTTCTTTTTTTTAGGAAGCTTCCATTCTCTCCATCAGAAAGGGGGAAACATTTAAATGCTATCTTAACATTTTCCAAAATGTTTCAGAGGGGCTATCAACAATATTGTAATCCTCTAAAATTAGGAAGTTCTTTGTATTTTTACAAAGTATTTTCATCCATTAACTTCTCTGATCTTCCCAACAGCTTTATAAGGTAGGAAATGCAGGAATCTCTTCAGAGTGGCAATTGACATTGCTTGCAGCACCAAAGCAATGTCATAACTAAGGGTAGTGTCCAGGAGGCCTGCTTCTCAGCCCAGAGCTCCTTCTCATGCCCTCTCCTTGAGAAGTACAGCAAATCCTTACTCCCCATAAATTAGGACTTTGCTCTTCTGTTAAGTTGGAGTAAGTATGGAGAGCCCATTCGGTGGCCCCAGAAGTCAGTCTACAGGTTTGCTTTTGCCCAGAATTGGTTGAGAAATTTCATCTTTTATTCCTTTTGAGAGATGCTTACTAGTGATAAAAGCTAAGTATAAATTGGCAATTAGGAGTCTATTCTTGTTTTATTTTCTCATGTTCTTGCTGTTGTGGCTGTTGTTTGAGTGAGAGAGCCGGCAAAACTATTCCCCGGGAGTCACACCCTTGACTTCTTCCCTTCCTGTACCTATATTTCCGATTAACTTAGGAGGGGTTTTGTACTTTTGTCCCCAAATTCTACTTCTGTTTAATTCAAGACCTACTGTATTACATATACTTGGTAAAGGATTAGAAGGCTGGAGTGGAACATGAATAGGGAAGGTAGTAAATGGCCACATTTTGGAAACCTTGAATAGAAAGGTAAGGAATTTGGCCTTCTTATAATTACTTTGCCTTTCACTTACATTGTTTCCATTTGTCTTTATTTTTCTAGGATTGTGGTGGTCTCCTGTCTGAGGGAGATAACCAAGGCTGTTACCCTTTGGATGGACACATCCTCTGCAAGACCTGCAACTCAACCCGCATCAGGGTGCTGACCGCCAAGGCTTGCACTGATCTTTAAATCCAGTCACCTGTTTTGCTAGCTCGTTGGTGGTGCTGAAGAACATAAAATATAAGAAAAGAAATAGGGAAATAGAGGAAAGGCAGTGCAATCATAAACATGGGATGGTCTTTTTCTTCATCTACTATTAACCTATCTTTAGAAACACATAGATTATGAGATTTTTTAAGTACTTACCAAATACACACTTCACATTTAATCATGTTGGACCTTGATGGGTCTTTGTTCCAAGGACTTCCACATTTTTGCACAGATTATGTTCCATCCCATTCACTTCTGCATTCCTGTAACTTGTAATCCTTGCATTTGTCTCACTTTTCATCTGGTTGAATGACTTTTTTTAGTGTGGTATTTGTTGTCACACAGTTTTCCTGGGTGAGTCTGCCAACTCACAGGTGCTTTTAGGCTGGAAGGCCCTGTCCTCTCACTGCCACGATGGCTGCCTGTGACCACAGAGGATAGCCATTCTCTTTCTGGGTAATGAACAGTTGATCTTTCTGTTATTCTAAATTAGTCATATACCTTGGGGGGGAAATGCATAATTTATATGTCAAGGTAAAAAGAATTTAAGATGTAGACTGTGTAGATTAACAAGCCCGGGTTAATTCTATAACCATCCAAATTCAAAACCTAGAGTGACCAGTTGATGAGGCTCATTTGAAAATAGTTATTGGTGCGACAGACCAAACTTCAATCATTTTCTAAAGAAATTACTTGTGGGATGTGCTTTAAAAAGCATTCTGGGGGTATATTTGAAAATTTCATTATTATCCCATAATATATCCTTAATATTTTCTTTCTCTACACTACCTGGACTTAATAGTACAGACAAAGTCATTTTTCTCTAGAATAGAACATTTCCAATACTGCCCCACTATTCATTTCAGAAATATTGCCTTTTTTTTTGTTTTGTCTTTTGGTTTTCTTTTTTTTAATATCTAAAAACAACTCCCCAAATTGCTTTTTCCTTTAGAGGAAAATAGCTACAAAGAACAGCTTGAATTCTTTCCCCCACCCCCCAGGCTCAGGCCCTTTTTGCCTGACAATTGCAAATCAAGCCACTCAAGATATACAAAATAAAACTGTGTAGTATTGTTTAGTTTACTTAAGGAAGACAGGAAAGCTTGAAAAGATTGTGAAACCCCAGTTTCATTACTCTCATAATCCTTCTGCAACTCAAATTACATATTGCAGGAGACATTTTCATATCATCGATGTGACATTTACACCACACTTTAAAAGACAATCACTGAAAAAAAAATTGCCTTTCTGAGCTAAAAATATTCACTGTCTCTGCCTGGAATCTTTATTCAAACTCTTATTGGGCAGTAAAATGCTTGCTTGCCAACTGCAGAACCACGCTTGCTTGGGTTGACCGTGTTTGCTATAAAGAGACGTCTGTCTTAGTGGTGGGTTGACATTTCATAAATTAAGTATTTTGGATTGAGATTTCTTAAACCTTTCTTCATATCTTCCACAACTATATACTCTTAAATTATGAAGTATTTTAAATATACACAAAAGTATAAATAATAATATAATGAATCCCTATATACGTAACATCAAGAAATCAAATATAACAAAGATAGTAACTTTCGCCTGTGTCCCCTCCCATGATTCCACACATTTCTTTTTCATGATTATAAAGTGACAAATTCAGTTTTCTAGTCTGACTTTTTAAAATTTTAACACCCAGAACAGAAATGAAAAATAATTTGTGCCTATCTTAAATTGCAAACCCTGCCTCAAGAATTTCAATTACATTTATTTTACTTTAGTAGAAATGATCATAAATTGATTCATTTTTCTTAATAAGACAGTTTTAGGCCTGTGATCACTCTAGCCCATCTAAGTTAATTGTGGCTCATTTGCTTTGGCCATCAGTTTTGTTTGGGAACCACCAAAGTCCTCACTTTTCAAAGTTTCCTTTGACCACTATCCTTTCCCTTATTTCACAGCTCTTATCCTTGATCTGTTTCTCATAATGTGAAATATAGTGGCATTCACTTTGAACAGCATGCAAATTGTAGGATAGAGTGGCAACTGTATCTCTGAATTTCTGTCTTCCAAGTTAGTGGCCACACCATATCAGTGACCTCAAAAAGCTCTATCAGACATTTGAGGTGATGCTATGATCTGCTTCAGTTGCTCATTTTCAATGACATACTTGGTGGAAATTGTCTTTAGGCCAAAAGCAAAGAGCCCAATTTATTGAGAGATGGATTTTATACCTTGAAATGCAGTCATATTATTATAAATTTTTCCAAAAGAGGAAGAACTTATGAAAATATTTATACTGTAAATTGCAATAACATTCTACTTGTTTGTTACATTTAAGTCCTTATGTAACTGAATGTTTACATGCCAAAAAAAAAGTTATAAGAAAATGCTGTCACAGACCTATGACTGTGGCATTGCCAGAACACTGCTTGCTTACAGTCTTTATAGTACATTTTTATCACATAACCTCAGAGTATCTTTACCAAAGATTTTTAAAGTAAATCTCTTTTTAATATAGACTTATTATACTTTTATAATTATGAATGTGCACACATACATATGCAGAAATATTTAGATTTAGATTTTTTTTCTCTCACAAGGTATAATAAGGAAAGGATCCTACATTATTTTATTCCAGGATATCCTAAATATATGATTTATATTGCTTTTTATCTTTTCTATTAATCATTTGATATAAACAATGCCAAGTGACTCTTTACTGTTTTAGTGACATGAAATTTTGCCAATACCAGAGATATAAAGATCCTATTATCTTAACAATTATATTTCTGTTGTCTATTGATATGTCTTGATTATTATCATTTAAATGCATAAATAATAGAAATAAATAATAGTGTCTATAAGAGAAAGTTTGTAAAAATATATTGGTTTTAAAAATTGTCAAGAACCCAATATTTAGTATTATAACATGAAAGACATAGAAAAAATTCATGGGGGTGGGGATCCCATTATGTCATGGACTCTGCAGATCATTTCAAAATAATATTTTGTCATTGTTTGGATCCCCAGGGACTCAACACGGAGTCTCCTTTGAAAGAAATTCCCTTTAAAAGTAAAAAATAAGTCATGGGCCCCAGAATAAGGTGTCACGATGTTGACATGATCTGCAGCTCAATGATGTGGGTTCTTTTCTTGTCATTAACAAATTGTTATATCTGTTGGAGCAACTTTTCTGATCAAAATTGCTTCGTTGGGTGTGTGGTGATTGTTGCAGTGGAGTTACCTACACGATTGTTGTTTTGTCACAGTGAAATTTTCTGCAAAGATGTTTATGGTGATCTTTAAAGGGTATAAGAATCCAACTACATTTAAACATGTATTTCATATTTTGCTTTGGAGGAAGAAAGAGAGCACTTTTACCAGGGGGCTACAATAGACAGTTTATGGAATATAAACAGGACTCTGAAAACACAATTTCCAACAGTTTGCCTAGTTAGTTAAAATCCTATTAATGTGAACCCGCCAGGAATAACAGTGTTATTTCTATTTGATATGGTTTGGGCTTCTCTTGTCAAATCTGTGTCGGCTGCCCCCTGATCCCTCCATTATCAAGTTTTGAAGGGTGTTGGGGAAATTATGGCAGCTGCTAGGGAGATCAGGGAAACACTGATGTAACCTCACAGCCTCTCACCATTCCTCTTGGCTTGGAAAGGCTTTTTTCCATATACATTTCTAGAAATATTGCTATTCTACCTTAGTATTTCACATTTGTAGTTTAAACAAGCGATTGTCCATCTGTTGCCTAGAGCTACAGTACATGTGTGTTATGAATGAAATATGACAGCATGTTCCATACCCTGCTTTAGCCATCTGTAGGCAACCAGTAGACTGAAAAAGATATACCTCTGCAAAATGTGCCTCTAGTCCATTTCTGAAGATGGCTCTTTTAGTGCACTCTCATGGGAGACAATCAGAGAGCAGCATATATCTGTGCCTTCTTTTTAAAGAATCTTTACAGTACTATGAATAGAAGAGTCTAAAACTTGAAAGAGTCTGTAACATAAATACAACCCCCAGATCTCAAGGATGCACTCATCAAAATCCAGAGATGTCTGAGCTCTTCATCTTAAAGTATTCTAAGAGTATGTCATTTCTCTTTTTGACTTTTGGAAGTACCTTATGAACTCCTAGATAAAGAAAATATTCTTATGTTGCAGGTAATGCATTGAGTGCTGTTAGTGACCATGTTTGGTTTTATTCTAGTATTAGTCAGATAGTGTAGACAGAGACTTCAACTTGAGCCTTTGATACCCATCTGGAATATCTATTTCTTTAATTGCCAGTTTTTTGGCTGGTCTTTTTTTAAATTTAATAGTGGACAGAAGAAGTTGGATTTTGTAGTTCTGAGTCATCATTATGGTGTGCAACCATGAACATTTCAGATCAAGTTATTTATATATAACTAGAATGAAATTTTTCTTATGTGAGTGTGGTTAGCCTAGAATACTATTTCAAACCTTAATACAATTATCTTATTAAAGCCACTGGACTTGGTGAGAATTCTTAGTCCCTTCCTCTCCTTTTTTCCCTCCTGCTTATTTTCTTCTTTCTTTCATGCCTCCTCTACCTACCTTTCTATTTGATATGGTTTGGGCTTCTCTTGTCAAATCTGTATCCTTCTTGGACTTTTCATAAATAAAGTAAATCAACATGTTTTGATCTTCATAGAATTATCATATTACGGAGAAAAGACTACTACAAAATATATGTGGCATTAAAAATTCTTCCGTTGAAAGGGCATATTTTTCAGATTGTGTTTATTCATAGGGTAAAATGAGATAATAGTCTTTTAGTTTTATTTTAATGAGTTTTCTTCAGGGACTCAGATCATAGAGTTCTTGGCAAATTCATTTAGGACTGCCCTACTCTTCTCAGTAAATGAGAAGATCAGAATGATCTTTTGAAGACTAGGTTAACTTTTTTTTTTTAACCCAAAGGCATTTTCGTGAACAATGCAATCATACATATTTTTTGGTAGTGTCGTGTTATTTTTTCTTTCAATGAAACTTGATAATTTTACTTATGGCACAGAAAAACTTATTCTTCCAGATTTTTTACACTTAGGAGCATTTTGCCCATGACAGTAGGACCAGTGATTTTCCTGGAGCGCAGATTACAGGCCTGTCGTCTGTCTGTAAACACAACCTAAGAAGAACAATCTGAGTCTCTCAGTAAAGCATTTTGTTAAAATTTTGCCTTAGGTTCTTTGAACTCTTGCTAATCCTAATTAGAAAAACATGCCCTCTGTGTTTGTTTTTGTATTTTTTGGGAAAAGTTTTTAAGACTGTATTTCCATTTTGATTTCTACCCTTATTTCCATTTTTCATAAGCTTTCAAAGTTGACATTTTTCTTTTGGAGTAGGTCACTTGCAGAAAATAAAACATACTGAATTCAATATATAAATGAATTTTCCAAGAATTAATGATAGTCTCAGTGAGTTTGTTTTTTTATATATAGGCACAGTTTATCTGAACCTGTCTCCAAGAAGAGTGGGATGCAGGAGTGGAAGGAAGAATTTGAAAGAAGGAACAATCTCCTATTAAAACTATAGCGAAGGAGTTCTTTTTTGGTGTAACTCTAAGAATGTTTGTGAGGGTTTTGAGATAAGCACTGTAGTTCTTTTAAAAGTAAAATATTTATATTTCCAAGTTTATGTAGTGTTTAAAAATCACTCTGGTTAAAGATAGTTTTCCCTTGTCTCAGAGAGCAACATGGGTGCTACTACTGAGCCAGGGCATGGCATAGCATCACCAGAGCCTTCACGATTCATGGCCTTTCACCCCCTCTGAAAGGGGCATAACTCATTCTCTCTCTTATGATGCATATTCTGACATATTCATAGATAAACTGCACTGTACCTGAAGCATCTCTGGAGGTTAGAGGTTTCTATTTTCTCACATCCAATATGTTGTCCCTTTCAGTGTTCTAACCTGATAAGCAGAGTATGTAGGAGTTTTTAGGTCTTTGTTCTCTTGTTTAAATCTCACGTCTTACCTGAACAGCTCTACAGTAATTTCTACTTTCTTCCTGTAGGTACAAGCACAAACAACTAACTTTATCTTAGTAACTTAAAAATTAATATATAAAGGAGTAGTTTTCCCTTCGATATAAAAAGGAAGGACACGTATTCTTTCCTGTAATTTACTTTCCTGGTTCTTGTGCAAAAAGTTACAGACTCTGGTGGTTTACTTTGTGCAAAGTTATATGGAGAATGTATTTGTAGTAAACTCATTAACAGTTCCCCACTGAAGTACAAAAACATTACTAAGATCTTTGCTTTTTATTTCTGATTTTTTAATTTATAGCAGTCTCTAAGCACACTAATAAATATCTCTATTTCTTACCTTTGTTAAAAACAAAAAATATACTACAAGCAAAAGCTATAAATACTAGAAAGAGGAAAACCTAAAGCAATATCCTTTGAGAAATGTAAAGATGCTTAAGTTAATAGTGTATGCCTTTGTTAATTTTTCTGGGGTATCCCTCCACTTAGAAGCAAAAAAAAAAAAGTACTTATCTAACGCTGATAGACATTCACTTAAGATGCCCAAATAGGAGCCTTAATAAACAATGCACAAGCACATTAATCAAGTTAGCACTGAACCCAGCTTCTAACTGAGTTGTCAACCCCAGGGTAGAATGATCTGCCAAGAATGAGACAGGTGTTGCTGTGTCATTTTGTGCTCTGCAATATTATAGAGGGAGATAGCCCACACCAAAAACCAGTGCTGTTCCTAGACAAACAGGATACCAGGCCCATTATGCATCTGAATATCCCCTGTTACTTTCCTAACAAGTCACTATCGCATATATTCTTAGACCTGACCAGTATTTAGTACAGCATTCCACTCTACCATTGAAACAGTTCTTTTCTACAAAAGTTTTTCCTGCTGTTAAACCAAAGTATGACTCCAGAACCATGCAAAACAAGTCTAATGTGTACATTTTTGCCTCTAGATCAGATACCACTAACTCTGAACCTTTCCTTGTGCGTTCACATAGTATCAAGTCCAGTCACCTCGCTGCTTCTCATTTGAACTGTTGAACCAAAAAATATTTTCTGTTATTTCGGTCAACTTGAAATTTAGCAATCACCTTGTCAGACTAGGTGAAAACACTTTCTCTGGAGTTGAAAGTAAATGGAATCATCCAAAGGAAACTGATACACAATGTGGAAATCTGTCCCAAGGTTCAGTCCCAGGAGAATGGGCACTTAATGAGGATAGACCTCCCATGTGTACAAAACAGTCCACTTACTCTTTGTCCTATCCTGTTTTTGATGTTGCCAAAATCAAAGTCATTCTGAAAACAGGAAATGAGCTCATGCATATGCCATCCCTGAAATGCCCACTTCTGGTCAATGTTCCTAAGTTCGCTTCAATTCCTTTCCTTTATCCCTGTCTTCTCAAGAATAAGATTTCTTGTTCATGTTCCTATGCTGATATGTAGAAAGAGCCCTGGACATTTTTAGTTTCTACATAAATCTTTACTGGCTGATTGGTTTTGAGATTCACTTCCATTCTTATGTGCGCAAATGTTCACAATTTACATCAAAGGAACAGCTTCTGTACATGATGATAGAACCGTCTCAGTCCTTATTTTCTCTTTGCTTTTGTCCTTCCAACATACTTACCCTTTAAGCATCCCCTCAATGTACTAATCATCTACTAATCACTAAGAAGATAAGCCCCTAAATAACTTGATTCAGGCAACTGCAGTAAGATCAAGCATGTCTAATCTCTATAAAAAGGTATATATCATCAGGAAGAGTGGAATCTATGACTTTTCCTTCTCATTGACTCTGAATATCTGGGAGTCTTTTTTCCCATTAAGAAAATTTCAATATATGTGATACTTAGAAAGGGTCTTCTCTAAATATAGCCTATGCATTCCTATTGTTTTTGGTGTGTTAGATTATTTTTTTCTCTTCATTTCTAAATTAAGGCAATGAATCAACTCAAGATTTTTTTTTTTATTTTTTACCAAATTTCACTCCTCCATGAAGCCTTACTGATACAACTTGGGAGAATTACTCTTACTTATGCTATTTGCCTTTGTTCCAAGCATCCTCTGATATTGAAGCAGAACCAGGATTTAGGTCTTATATTCTCCTTGATGCCACAGAAAACTAATCTTTAGTAAATACTAAAACATTGCTTCCTCCTTCCAAATATATTTATTTTGTTTTTTGGCAACGTTACATTAAAAATTTTTGATTTTTAGATGAAGATTATAAAAGTCTTTAAATACCCTTAAAAGTAGTTTGAAGGATTTTTTTTTTTTTTGAGAGTCAGGTTTTAGGATTTATGTGGTTTTGTTGTTTTTACTTGTACATTCAAAAGACAGACTGTTCTGACAGTTGATATGTAACTTCATGCTTTCCTCCAGTAACTAACCCATGAACAGCACACTCCAATTATCTGGCTTGCTGATAATGATCTTAAAATGTTGGGAAATGTCACTATGTGATCACCACTTCTAACAAAGGGGAAAAAAAAAGCAAAAGATAGTGGTTGTGTCGAAACTCATTACTTATCTATGCAAAAGAAAATCATTCTTAGGGGAAAGGGATATATTATGTCTTTATGTAGATTGTATAAATTCTTTCATATTGCCCTGGGTTATTATTTGGTTCCAGTAGTATGCCTTGGTCTTTGGGAGGATAGGCTTATGGCTTCTTCTACCACAATTTTGAACTAGGGAGCCTTATCGGCAGGACCTGTCATCCATCTCCTGGGCAGTGCCTGGGGGTGGCTCTCTGAACTCTAAAATAATAATTCCTGAGAGAGCTTACAAACTGCTTTTGCACATAAAACGGCCCCAGGAGGAAGGTTATTAATAGCTTTATCCTAGAAGAGAAAGCTGAGGCTCAGCATCGTTAAGTGACTTGCCACAAGCAATACAGCTGGTTGGTGACAGATTTGGGGACATACCAGGTCTTGCAAGCAGATTGGGGATATACCAGGGCTTCAGTGCTCTCTCCAGTGGCCAGTGCTGGGGCACAAAATACCTCAGAGTACCTCAGTCTGCTTCTCACAAGCCCCTATGCCCACCATTCATAGGCATTAAGGAAGTTTCACGTAGACTGTTTAGCTCTCAGGTGGCAAAACCACACATTACTGTGGTGGCTGAGATCATTTAGAGCTGTGTGCATCTTCTGTGCCATCTGTGGGAAACCACTAGGTATGCTGACTGATCGGCCCTGTGATAAAGTCAGTACAGAAAGGCCACTGCTGAGAACAGACTGTGGCACTGAAGCACACTGCAGCAAATTTCCCCAGTGAGAGTTGGTTTACTTTACATTAACTGAAAAACTCTCTGGAATTGTGAGATTCAGAGAATCAGCCAAGGCCGTATCATTCAGAATTCAGTGGAGTGCTGAGTGACCTGATCCTCAAGGCAAGTCTCTCTTGTTGGCTAGAATTTACACCCCATGGATGCAAAAACTGCTATATGTAAACAATGTATATTATTTTCTCTCAGTGCACATTTATCGAGGCCCAAGTATTTGTCACTGACTCAGGCATTTTCCAACCAATGTATCTTGACATGGAAATGTCTGAGAGCAAATGCTGGGCCCCTAGTTTCAGTCCTGAGATTTGGTCTTTGCCATTTGATGGACTGGGCTCCCAGGCTGTTGTAGTTTGGGATTGTGTACTTAACACAAAGATTTTGGTAATGTATCATTTCAGCTAATGTATGATGATTTTGGTAATGTATCATTTCATATCCACTTAGGAATCTCCGTGGATATTCTAAAAGCTACTCTGCATGGCTGTTCAACAGCTAATCATTCCTTCTCTTGAGTGGACTCCTTCAGGAAAGTTGTGCCTTTTGACGTGTGCTCTTATATGTGTGTTATTTCCTCCTTTCCTTAGAGCTATTTGACTTGAAGTTAGAATCTGTGAACTAATTGAAAAATATTCTCTCTTCATCTGAATTGAATTTGTAGAAAACCTTTAGAAAGGTCTTATTTAATAAGCTTTCTAGGCATATTCCCTCCCTAGTGTATAACTTCCATCTCTAAGGTCACATCATCAGCAACCGCTCATCCCCTGGGATTAATGAGGACCACATTACTCATGACCGCTCACCCTTTCCACTCATCACGTGTAGGAAATACAGGAAGTACTGGTGGGGACACCCCAAAGTAATAGCCTTGACTATAGAGGCTAATAGAGGACAGCATTCAAAATCCAGAAATGTGCTTTATCCGCATGAGTGTTATGACTAAAAATTTAGAAAACAATTCCTGTAGAGGAAATGGAGTCCCTCTCCACCAGGAGGGAATTTCATAGAAAAAAGCATTTTGAGGACATTTCAGAATTATCTAGATGAGTGTACCTGAGTAGACACTCACTTGATGGAAAGTGTAACATCTTATTAGCAGGCATAAAAGCACAGAAGACAGTGAATATGAAAAAGATGGTCTTTTTAAAAATTAACGGGAATCACAAACCCTAATTTATATTTATAGAGTGGAAAGGAAATAATAAAAGTTTTCTTCATCCTATACTATTTAGTCCCCCGTATTTAGGAAAAATGTAATTGTGTTGTCTCTAAAATGCACATCTGTGCCCATGCGTGCTCACACACACACACACACACACACACACACACACACACACATCTTCCAAGAAAGCTGATCCTTCAAAAAAGAAACCTTATTTTAAAATATGTGGGTTTTTCAGGCTAGGAAATTAATAATTCCTAGACCTGACCCATTTTTGTGGCTGCCAGAAAGGAAAAGAAAAAGCTATTTAAATTTTGTATGGATCCATTTATCTCTTAAAATATGCCAAAGTAGTTTGAGGTAGGGGTGGAAACTAAGGTATTTATCTCCCTTGTTTGATTCTTTATATTTCTATCTTTTGGGAAAGGAGTGAAGAACTATTCTCAGGCCATTATTATTGATGCATTGTATTGCCACTTTATGCAGTGTCTGCTTTGCTTCAAACTGAGATATAAGAAAAATAGTTGCTTTCTCTATTCCATTTTCTTCATCAAGAGAGAGCAAATATGAAGCCTGAATGTTTTTCCTGACCAAATTATTAAACTCCCTTTCTGAACTAGCTTAAGGAAATGCAAAAAAGGATGGTTAGTTTTTCTTGTATGTATACATGTTCCTTTCTTTTCTTTCTTGGGAGACAAATTATAAAGGAAAAAAATTCTAGTTTCTTCTCATCTCTCTCTCAAGATGACAGCTGATGATCACTTAGTAATTATAAATCAGAAGAAGGAGAATAGCTTAGCCAGGTTATGATGCCTCTGCCAATGAATAAAAAGAGATTTTTATCATTTAATGCCAACAATAGGAGTGACTTCATGTTTTAAAAGGGGATTTGATTTTGGGGCAGTGTTTGTGTTTTTCTAACCTTAGATACCTTCTGCTCAGTTTTTAGATGAATGTAAGTCCATCATCATCATCGGAGTGAAATTGCCCAAAGATTTAATGTGACTTAGGAACTGCCCCCTGCCCCCCAACTAACTAGCAAATAACAATTGGTCAAGATTGTGATGCTCTTCTAATTCATCTGAAATGTCTGAACTGAAGTGTATCTTTCATGAAGAGGGATAGGGACCTGGAAACTAAGTCTTATCATCAATATTTATAATGAAATAGTTGTAAAATCATGTTCAGTAACTTTTTCCTTTCACTACTCATTTATTCTCTTTGGAAAGCTGAGGAAGAAATTATCCAAGAAATATTTACTTATCATATAATGTCAGAATATTACACACACACACACACACACACAAATATCTGAATTATGCCTTCATTCCTTTTCAGGAAACATATCAAAAACAAATTGAATAAGAGATGACACTTGATTGTCTGATTCTTTAGCATGCATAAAACTATCATGTGATTCATGATGCCTTAAGCAAAAATTTAAACTCAGATGCTAAACTCTCACAGCTGGCTGTATTGTCAAACTTTTGCCCTGTTATCTATGCAAAAAATTACGTTTTGTTTTGACTTGTAAACTGTACCTGCACTGTTTGTTTAACAGGTTTGGGGCTCTCTCTTTCCCACTGGGAATATGTGCAATTATGAGATGCACCCAAAAAAGGCAGGGAAAGAACTTTCTGAGGAACAAATCTACACCATGAAGATGTAGAGCCCACGGGTAGTCATTTTCTCCGAGCTGCACAAACAAGCTTTTATTTCATGGCTTTGTCACAGGCTTTTCTCCTTCTGTGCCGTCACCTTTGAGAAAAATGACTGCACCTTCTCCAAGTCTGCCTTTTTAACAGCTACAGTTGAGTTGGCAAGACTTCCCCAGCTCTGAATATAGCCATTTGCCGACTCCGGCCTCTTTGCGAGACTGACTCAAATCTGTGATCTTCTGTTCAGCACACACATCAGCAAAGTGAGAAGATGAGCACTAAATATAGGCTCTATTAACTATACTTTTAGCTTTACTGCCTTCAAAAAGTGCCTATTCTGAGAAACATAAACGTTATTCTTACATATGTATGTACACACGGTACCAGAGTCATACTGTGCAGCCTTGAAAAACATACCATTGAAAGGAGTAGGTGCTGAGATAAGGAAGCCTTGCCAAGTGGAAGAAAGTCACTCATTTCCAATCTCCCCTTTCGAGTGGCACCGTGAAACGGGCTGCAAACACATTCCCTGAGCATTCCTTGCTGATACAGCCACTTTATATTTATATCCTGCAGCATGATGGCATATTGCTGAGGTTTCCTGTGCTCTGCTTCAAGGGAATATATGCTTTGTGGAATTGGAACATTTAGTCAGGAAAAAAAGTTGTTTAAGAATTAATGAGCCAGGGTCTGTATTAGGATATGTGTCATATGTATGTTTTATAAACTAAGCATTGGTGGGTTTAGAATGTCAGCACATTTCTTTTATCTCTCAGGCTAACATCAGTGAAAACTAAAGAGAAGTCTTGGCTGTGGGAATTGGAGGCTCAGGGGGCCAAATGTCCTTGCCAGATCCTTAGAGCATCTTTACTTTGACTCCTAAAAATAGTAACGCATGTTATTTAATGGCTTTTGTTTCCATCGTTCTGTGGCTGACATGAAACTAAATTCTTTTGATGGAGCAGCAGCATAGTCTAGAACAATGGGTTTTTACCCAGTTGTGTATGCGGAGAGGGTCCAGGTAACAGGACGAAGTAGATAGTGCATGGTTTTAGGAAAAGGGTTGAAGGGAGGACGTGCTTCCAAAAAAGATCTTTCTCAATGTGTCGTCTGACTCACCCAGCTGGCAAATTCCCCTTGCCAAGTCGCTCTCTTTCCTTCTAAGTCACTTGGCTCCAGGTTGACTTGGATATGCCTCTGCTTTGGGAAAACGAGTTATCTCCGGTTAGTCTTTCTCCAAGGATGCACTTGATGTGCTCTTGGTCACAAAGTCATCTCCTTTCCCATCTCGTTTCACCAAATGGAAATAAAAGGGGTCAAGCTATGGAAGGTGCCCTCCACATCCTTGCTATGAGCTACCATTCTGCTTCCCATCTAAGAAGCCCCCTGGCATAAACCAGGGCTGAGTAAGGAGCAGATCTGTGTTTTGTGATCTCTAGATTGTGGACCACCCTGCTTTCGTTAGCACTTTGTGAGACCAGTTGTGTTTTTGGAAAAAGAGTGATACTCCTCACTAAAACTATCTGCTCTTCCTATTGATGTTCTTTCACTGTTTTAACATTATCTAATTTCAGCTAACCATTCTCTAATGTTTTAGCGAAGGGGAATTTACTGCCAGATAAGATTTCAAAATCTATGTGCCATTTCAGAAGGGACATTGGGACACAAGGTTATCTCGGAAACTAGATATACTGAGAAAGGCAATAGCACTTTGGTCTGGATGTTAATCTGATGGTGACTGGGTGTTAATCTGAAGTGTGGGAGATAGTTCGATGTATACATAGAATCTGCATGGGCAGATTAGCAGAAGGAGGAGATCGGGAAAAGTCAGTTTTATCTGTTAAATGTGTCAAAGAGCAAGGTCTTCCCATTAAGTACCATCAGAACCCCACCATGGTCAGCTGCTAGTCTGAATAATATTCCCTGAATAAGGGAAATCCACATGACATGGACAATGTGACTTTTTTCATGTGACACTGACAGAGCCATAGTTTTCCTAAAAGATACAGATTTCTCTGTTATATTTTTCTTAGCAAATTGCATTTCTCCATCATGAATCATCAATGACATATTCAAAATAGCCCACAAGGTTTCTTATGAAAATAAGAGAATAAAACCTGACATAAGCAAATGATTTGGCTATTTTTCTTATTGTATTTATACATTAGCCTCCTGTATTAAAACATCTTTCTACTTTCAATTTTTCTATCAAGGATGTTTTTAATGTTCTATAAGAATAAAGATGAAAAATCACAATCCTTTTTTCTGTAAAAGAACTCTATCATATTTAGAAATCCAATAAACTTCTTACTATATTTACTTGGCTATGTATGGAATTCTTTTTGAGTTAGATAATCCCTCCTTCTTTTCTAATCCCTTTTACTGTGATTCACTTTTATACATCACTTGCTTTCCATATGGTAAGGGAAGGTCTCTCAAAGCAACTACGATGCCAGCAAGGGTATGTAGTGCCCACTCTTCCCCACTGTCAGCCTAGAGAGCTAAAGGTGGGATGCGTTCTAAAATGACTTCATCACTCTCTCTTATACTTGCAAGTGAAGAATGTTCCCCTTTCAAAGCTGGAGCCAAGTAAATATATCCCTAGGGGCGAGGGGAGGGTACTCTACTCCCTTCACCAACAACTGACAGGATTTTTCATACTTTTATTCCACCTTCACTATGAATATTTTTCAAAAATTGAGTAGAGGTCTGTACTAGGCACCTTGAGGGATATGGATATAAATCAGACATAGTTCCTGCTTTCCAGGAGTCTATAGCAGAACTGATAGTTATGGATGTAAATAATCTTCTGGAAAGGAAAGGAAAAGTAAAGGGAGAGGAACGTAACATTTTTGAAACTTTTTAATTTTTATTACATCATTTCTAATAATCTGTGATCTGGAATGCTTATATGTATCCTCATTTTTTTTTAAGATTTATTTATTCACGCATACAAGAGCCGGGGTACAGGCCAGATGCACAGAGGGTGAGAGGATTCATCAGAGACAGAGCAGGAAACAGAACAGGCAGACTGAGGAAATACACTGCTGAGGGGAGCAGCGGGACAGACAGGAGAGGTCTGCTCGCCATGTGGGATTCTTGCCAGCTGACGGGGATGTAAGGGATACTGCAGAGGCTACAGACAGCTTCACAGTGCTGCGCTCAACTGCCCGTGCCACCAGGGAAGGCGTATCCTCATTTTATAGAAGAAAATGCTGAGAATGTGAGAATGTTAACCTAAGATCACCATTCTTTGAAGAAGCCCTATTTTTTACTTTTTTAAGTAGCAGGTTTGCAGGAAAACCCAGCACTTCTGACTCCCTGTTCAGTGGTCTGTCTACTAAACCTTAAGAGTGACTAGAGCACAATGGAATACTACTCACCTATTAAAAAAAAAAAATGAACTCCTTGCATTTGCAGTAACACAGGGCTGGAGGGCATAATACTAAGTGAAATAAGTCAGGTGAAAGACAAATATTGCACAGTTTCACTTAAATATGGAATGTAGAGAAACAAAACAATGAGTCAGACAGAACCAAACCAATAACAAATCCTAGAAGCCTGACTGTAGAATTCAGACGACCAGAAAGGGAAGGGGAGGTTGGAGAGCAGGGTGTGGAAGGGTCCCGATCAGTTATGGTGAGGACTATGAGTGCCTTGGTGGTGGGTGTGGTGTGGTAACACACATATGAAGGCGTGTGATCCTCTATGTCTTAATTATACAGTGTTGCTAACCAATGTTACATCAATAGAAAAAAAATGAATAGTTACTGCTCATACAAATAGATGCTGGAAAAAGAAGAGACTAAAAACTTGTTGACATTTAAGAAATAGAAATAGTTAACAGGTTAGAAAGTACACATTTCAGTGAAAAACCAGATACCACTATATTTAGTTTCAGTATTCTGGCTGGTGTCCCCATTTAGGTAAATTTCAATAAATATTACTGAAAACAAATAAAAATCACTATATCTAGAAGGTACATGGCATTCCTTCCATAATAATCTGAATAGAGCAGCCCTTCTCCCCACGTAAGCCTTCGGTTTTATTTCTCCAACATGATTCAGCTGTTAACGCTGGGGCATTAGAGAACTACAGGATGTAACATGCTGCGAGACAAGAATTTTAAAGATCTCAGAAAGAAAGATACACCCTTGAATAAACAAAGGATAAATAAATTACTGGGACAGAGGGTACTCATAACGTCATGATAGAAAGTTGTAAACAAAGAAGTACATAAAATGTCATCTTGCCTTCCTTTTTCCTATTTTTTTCCCTATTTCTCTTTGTCCTTTGGCCCCATTCTGCTGTCTACCTTAACATTGAAAGTCCATTCATTTCTTCCTATTCATAGAATGTGACAGCTAGAAGGACCGTACAGAGCCTTTACTCTGATCTCATGAAGGAATACTAAGTTCCAGAGCTATGAAGGGAGTTACCCAAGATCAGAAAATAATTTGATAAGGCTGGATCTTGAGTTCTGTCTTCCTGACCCAGTCCAGCACTATCATGCAGATGTCTTTATTAATTTGGAAAAGAGAGTGGAAAAGGTATTTTATTTACAATTTTCATTTCCAAAAAAAAAAAAAGACATTCAGAGTTGAACAAAAACTGGAAAAACTGGGAAAGCTTAATATCTGTAGACCCAAACTAAAAGAAATTATAAAAGATGTATTTCAGGAAGAAAGAAAGTAAACTCAGAAGGATTATCAGTGACGTAACAAGGAATGGTGAGCAAAGAAAATGGCAGCTATATAGTTGAATCTCAAATATGATGAGTTCTTCTCAGAAATTTGAGCACAGTTGAACATTAATTAGAATACCTGTTAATATAACTCACCACTTTCACAGAACAATAAAAAGTGTCTTATGATCATAAGAAATAGTATAATAAAATAAAACATTTATGACAAAACATAAACCCTTGCCAAATCAGGAATAGAAATTTCCTTAATTCAGTAAAGACTATCAATGAAAAAATTCACCCCAAATGGTGAAATATTTGAAGTAATTATTTTAAATCAGATAAGAGAAGGATACTATCACCATTTCTATTTAACTTTGTACTACAGACACTAGACAGTCATAACAGAAACAATATGTATAAAGGAGATAAGAAACCAAACTGTGATCAATCATATACAGCTCTAGAAATCCCTATTTGAAAACTCAAAATAACGTACTAGTGATTAATATTATATACTTTAGAAGTTTGCTACATATAATGTTAATTTACAAAAAAAATTATATTTCCGTGCAACACAGAAAAAAACAAAAATTTTAATTGTATATTAATAACTATATGTAATGTTATTGAATTATTTTAAATTAAACAGGAATATCTTTCTTTTATGTGAATGACCCCAATTAATTAAATCATAGAATTTATTGGTAACTTAGACTCCTTAAAATTAAGGGATGTAGTTACTCAACCGACATAATAAGTTCAAGTTGAGAAAATTTATTTGCCAGACATAAAACTGACAAAGAATTGCTATCCAGAATATACAAAGAATCCCTTAGAAGATGAAAATTTAAAAGAAAATGGGGGCAAGAACAGATATTTTATGAATGATGAAAATGTGATTAGGCCAGCTGTGTCTGCTAGCTGGTAACTGTGGAATTTAGGAATCTCTATTCCCACAGATACCAGGAGACAGAAGCCCTGTACTTCATTTCATTTCAAAGGAATTGCTTTCAGTTCCTTCAGAGCAACATTCCTGAGTTGTAAAATATAATATATATAATATAATAATAATAAGATACATATATTATAAACATACATGTTTTAAAGGGACTAAATAGACATAATATACACATTTTCATCGTTTTTTTAATAGTTTCTCATGCCCCTGATCCAAGCTCTGTCCCTGTCCATTCTTTTCATGGTAACTCACTCTCCCTTTAAAATGCCCAATCTGGGCCTCCCTGGTAGGCAAGGGGTTAAAATGCAACCTATGAAGCAGCCACTGTAGCATGAGTTCAAGCCCTGGCCAGGGAGCTACCCACATGGCACAGCAGACCTCTCCTGACTCACCCGCCGCTCCCCTCAGCAGTGTATTTCAGTCAATCTCCCTGTTCTGTTCCCCACTCTGTCTCTGGTGAATCCTCTCACCCCCCACACCTCTGGCCTATACCCCAGTTGTTGTATGCATAAATAAATAAATCTTTAAAAATAAAATGCCTAATCTCCTCTGCCCAAATGAAAATGGAGCCTAGCAAATTTTCCTGTTGTCAATAGACACAGGACAAAACCGTTCTCTTCACTTTAACTGATTATCTGACCTCATTCATCTTTGTCGTAGCACTCCAAGACCCAGCCCCATGTCAACTCCTCTGGAAAATCATTTCTTGACTTCCTTTGTGCTATTTGTCACTCAAAGTTGTAAGACGATACAACTGAACAGACCTATACTAGGATACTTACTATATTAAACTAAAACTTACTTTTCTTCTAGTCAAATTTACATTTATACTAAAAATCTGAGGACTGGTAATTGTGCATGCATGGAGTCAAGTATATAAAAGGTCTTGAATAAATGCATATTAAACGGAAATTGAATGAATGAATGAATGAATGAATGCCACTGTATGGGAACATAAGGATTAAGATGTGCTCTCCATCTGGAGAGTCCTAAAAGGAAACTGAGTGGTGTGGAAGCTGAGTAAGAAGAAAACAATGACACTTCTCGAGGAACAGAAAAATACCTACTACTATCGACTTGTCCTTTCTTGCCTTTGAGCGAATTTTCCACTCCATTTTTTCCCTTCCCTCAAATTTATAAGTTTATATGAATTTTTTTTTTCCTGAGGGGCTATGAAGAATCATTTTCTATTCTTTGCTGTAAAGCAGGCGAGGGAGGACTCAAATCCCTTCAAACGCGGGACAAAATTTGCCAATTGAAAGGACTTCATCTTGGCCATAACCAGATGCAAATGTGTGATGTCAAGCCAACTTAACTATCCCATTGTTTTCAAGTGTGACTAAGTACTGACTAATATTACTTCCTCTGGCACTTTTTTTTTTTTTTTGACTCAGTAGAATGGAAAAGTTCCAGACTGTTGTTATACTGTGCTGTCTGGACAGAATGACTTCCTGCACATCATAACCACTTGAGAGAGGAAAATGGAAGGGGCGGGAGAACCACCCAAGAATATCCTTAAGTTTAGCAATGGCTTTTGTTCTTGGATTTTGTTGTTTTTGTTGTTCTGTGTTAATCACAAAAGCAACAAAAAATATAAAAATCCAAATTGGATGGGAACCAGCCCAGGTCATGTAGTAAGAAGTGCACATTTTCCTGCCTATCCTGAGACTGCTGGTGTCTCCATGACAACCCCGCCAAGCCATTCAGCTTCCGTGTAAACATTCTCTTTCCTAGGGAGCTCTGTTCCTTCCAAATCAAGCCCCCACACCTTTGGGCTGTCAGCCATATCTTCTGCCTCCCTGTAGTCTATTCCTCTTAGTTCTGCCTTCTGGGCAACAAGTGGCATTTGCAAAGAATAAAGAGATTTCCTGTCTTGTTCCTGTAGATTAGATCACTAGAGATAGGTTGATAATGATTTCTCCGAGACAAAAAAGAGAAATGAGCAGAATCAAACTCTGAGGATGTTTCTGAAGAGTAGAAACAGAGATGAAGGATACCCATATACTGTGTCTTCAGATCAGATGGGCCCCTTTCCCCACATCAGTGGCAGAGGATTGTCAAAATTGTCCAGTTTCAGCTATTCAGACCAAAGGGACTCCCAATGTTACCTCTACCTTTTCTCTCCCCAAATTTTGGAAATATCAACTCTTCTTCCTGGCATAGTCTCTTTTAGTTCCCACTTTTATGCTTTATTCTAGATAGTCATCAGCCTTAGTTTCTCCTCTCTCCTAATCATTTTGGTGACAAAAGAGATTAACTATCATGCTACATTCCAGAGAAAGTCTGCTATCTCTAGGCATAGAGGAAAATCACTGCTTTCCCAGATTTCTCTTCTTTTATTGCTAGACGACAGATGCATTTCCAAGGAAGTGTCCTTCAGAAATCGACTGCCGCCCCTTTCAACTGTAGGATTCACTTTTCTCAGGGTGTGAGTCATTTCTATAACTTCTAAGTTTCCACCAGTTTCAGGGTCAAAGGAAAAGTCAGCACCCACAAGGCCCTTCAGCTTCCTGGGAATTAGGAAGAAGGATTCATTACATGGCAAAGATTATTGCCTTTTTCTTTTCAACTGTGATTGGTAGCCCAGAAACCACAGCCATCAAATACAGAGGCTTTGCTAAATCATCACTATTTCAGCTACTAATTAGGCCTAATGTTCACAGTAGAAGAGTCTGTGGGGGCCATAAACCACTTCTACAAGTGATTAAACTTCTAAGCTAACACACTTTGATTACCACAAGATTCTTTCCTTTGCAAAGTTTCTCCAAGGCAACAGCACCCAAAGACAGGACTCTGTGAATGGAGGGTCAGCAGCCTGGAATATTCGGTATGCAGATGTCCCCTCTGTCTTTTGGGCAGACCACTGCCCCCACCTTTTTTTTTTTTTTGTATTGAGATTCTCTAGGGGACCGCATATGTGACAAAGTTAAAGACATTCGGGGAATAGCAAGTTTGCTGGGTCTGCTATGGGATGACATAGCCCCAGAGGGAAAGACTAGAAGCACAGTTGAGAGTCATTGTACTTCTGAGGTACTGTGTCCCCACCCCTTGGCCTCTATTTTGAGGAGTAGATTTAGAAAAAGTCATCATGGTGGTGAGAAAACCTGAGGCACTATGCTAAAAACTTCCCTGGGAGTTATCTCATGGAAAAAAATAAAGGCATTTGGTCAAG